AGATTCAAATCGAAGTGAATCGAATCGAATCGAATTAAATCGAATCGTGGATCGAATCGATTCGGGACCTTGTGAATCGGAATTGAATCGATTCTAGAAATCAGTGACGATACCCAGCCCTACTTAACACAGTGGAGGCTCTGTCGTGGTTTGGGTCTCTATTTCAGCCTGAGGTATAGGGACCATGTCAAAATTGATGGAACACAGAAGGGATCCCAAACACACTGCAGATGCAGTAAAAACATACATGGATAGAGAGAGCAGGCTCATCATGACAGATCCAAGTCAAAATTTTCATTTGGTGTGCCTCCTCAACTCGTATCTATAAACAAGCTGCAGCTGTGTTTTTAAGTACAAAAAAAATGTATTAGTTTGTTTTGCTGTGACGCTTGAATGGCTCTACATTGTTTGTTTGTTGTTTTTTTTGGTTTGTGAACTTGAATTGTTTTATGTGTGTATTGTATACGAGTATTGCATTATATATAGTTAAACAACTTTTACAACTTTACTACCTGGAATAACGTCAACTGAAGATTGGGGAAGCCAATGCAGAAGTCCCTTAAACGTGTATTCTATCTGAAGGCCACCAGATGGCCATAGATGTGATTGTGAAAAAAACTTCTGGTTCTGTTGAAGTCTAGTGGGAAGTGGCTCTGTCCTAACCTCTGTAAACACTTTCATGCTGGGTTTATCAGTTCAGTCCCTCACTTGAATAATTTTGAATAAAAAAATCAAGTCTATTTTGTAAATCTTGGTGATATAGTGTTTTAACATGGAGGACTATTTGTGCAGAAAGACCTGGGTGAACACTGTGGGTAAATAACCCTTGGCTTCCTTTCTCTGTGACCTCAGTAAACACTTCCTTCAGAACTTTAGAGGCTAGTTTCATATTCTATTGAATAAAAAATGCAGTTTACATTATAAATTATGGTCATTATTAGAGTAAGAAACATCGATTACCCAGGGCATGCTCCTGGGCTAATGACTGGTCGATTACAAGTTGTGAGCATCAAGAAGTTCTGCATGTCTTTATAGAATCATTAAATCATTATTCATGTAATACATCAGACAGCATATCATTTCAATCATGATCTAAGATGTTATTTATTAACTAATTTACATTTTACATTTCCACAACAAGAATACTAGATGTCAAGGACAGTCAAGCGTCATCAATATTTTAATCAGTATTTAAGAACATGTAAATGAGCTGTTTCAAAGCCAACAAAGTTGGTTAGCAAAGTACGCAGATTTTACCACCATGCAGTATGCTGCACATATAAAATGGGCAAAATCAAAATATCTTCAACAAAGAACTTCTAAATACTGAAGAACTCTCATCTCTGAATTCCCAGTTTCAGAGGCACTCATCAGAATGAATTGGGTCCTATGGAGTTGTAGTCCAAAATAAAGTTAATTTTATGAAAATTGTAATGTTTTCAATAGATGAGGTTGAAAGACGAGTTAGGCTTCCATTTTTTATTTATTTATTTTTAATCGTACTAAAATATATGTATAAGAAACATAAAAAAAAACAAACCTCAACACCAACTACCATTTTGATTTCAGGTATGAAACAAGCACCACCAAGGATCACCATCATCCACTACAACCAACTGTTTCTCATACGTACATGGAAGTTTCTGTTGTGATTTGAGGACTCTAGACAAGTGGAGGACAAAAGAAGTAGTGGCAGGTCTAAAAGAAGTAATGTCATTAAGATTCATCTACTGTTCTCTGAAACTTCATCAGATGTGATCCGAGTGGAAGGATGGCTGTCAAAAAAATGTACTCTTAAGGAAAAGAAACAGAGAGAAAGGGCTGAGGTGTGCCAAATTAAACAAAAACTAGACTAAAAATCAGCAGCCAACAGTCTCATGGAGTGAGGAATCCAAATTTGGAATTTTTGGTTCATCATTAGTCAGTATGTAGAAAATATAATGACAGAGGTACAACAGCGAGTGTTTACAGCTATCTGTAAAACACAGTGGGGTCTCAGTTTCAGCCTGTGGTGCAGGGGACCATGTTAAAATTGATGGAACACAGAAAAGAGGGTTCAGATTATCATCCGCCATGCACAACCAATTGGAGAGGGTCTAATTGGCTAACCACTTTGTTTTTCAGCATGACAGGCATCCCAAACACACTGTAGATGCAGTAAAAGGCTCAAGTGTTTTAGACAGTGGGGTACATTTACATTTGGGGTGAGCAAGAGGTGAGACGAGAATACAGATCTGCGCCGAGTGGTTATCAGATTCTGATTACAAATGCAAAACAAATGTATTTAGATTTATGTTCTTTGGAGGAGAAAACTAACAAATGGAGACAGCTCACATTGTTTCAGACATTGTGTTGATGTATTTTACTTTCGTTATTTGGCAAAGCCTCATTCACAAAGCAACATGAACCTGCATTAAGGAGGCATTAGATAAGCATATAATGCATCAGACAGCAGAGTTTCTATAAAAACACACCCTAGAATATTGTAGGGTGTATTTTGTTGTAATGAAAAGTCTTTGTTACCTGTTCATCAAAGCTGCTGATGACTTGTGAGATACACAACCTTTCCTTATGAGTTTAAAAGAGCACCAAATAAGGAATTTAGAAGGTTTTGGAAACAACCTCAACAACCACATGCAGGGACACTAACAAGCAGCAGAACTCCCTCACAGGTCAGTAGACTCCCACTGTTCTTTACTTATCCTGGCTCCAGTCACTTCCTGCTCTGTCTTTTCCTCCATCTTAGGCCATGTAAGCCAATCTGGGGTGAGATATTTGAAACTGCCACTTGCTGCAGGAACAAATGAAAATATTGCCGGAGAGGAGAAGTAATCCCGACTGCGGATGCTTGGACAGCCTCTGAAATCCAATCCGGACTGGCCTTGTGGGTTGAGGTAGTGGGCCGATGTTGCTAAGAAGCTAGAATTAGGATAAAACAGAAATCCTCCAAAGTGTGAAAGGCTCATCAGGTCCTGATAACAAGAATAAGATAGATAGAAAAGATTATCCGAGGATCATGGACAGCAACAGCCCAGGTCAAGAGTCGTTTTCAGTCCAGAAAGACTGAAAAAAACCTACAACACACATAATGCTCTAGCAGTGTAAATACATTACATGATTATTTATTGTATTGTGTATTATTTTTAAAAACCTAAAAGTACAGTAGATCAAGTAATAATAGGAATGGCTTTTAGTGTTAATTTAAAAAAAATAAAATTCAAAGAATTCCTACTTGTACTTGTCTACTCATTTTTCCAGGGGTACATAAATGCAGGTAATTGTGCAACTATAGCTATTCAGCTATATAGAGTATCTATATAGCCACATTTTTTAAAAATAGAAAACTCTGCAAATCCCTTTGGAAACCGGTTGATATACTAAACTAAGGCATATCCACAGCCTCTGGAAACTTCAGGTAAGAAAGTAGTTCAAACAATATGAAGTTAAGTCAGAAAATACAGATGAAGACAATTTTCTCAATTACCTATAGCATGACTTAAAAATAAAACATGAGGGTACTTAATGTAAAAAGCAGACACATTATTCATTAAACTTGCAAGTAATTATGCTGTAATTTCTTTAAAATAATCCTTTTGATTTGTGGTAAAATACTATTTTTTTTTATTTAAAATTATGAACAACATCCATCCATCCATCCATCCATTCTCTTCTACCCATCCTTTTCAGGGTTGCAGGGTGAGGGAGGGGGTGGGGTGTCTAATTATGCACAACTATGAGACATTTTAATAAAAAATTTACAACTTTGAAAATAAAATCTGACATCCTACTTTTCTGCTCTTCACTACATTAATTAATGGGCTATATTTACTTAAATTAGGATAAACAATGAGACCACAGTGAGGTAACACACTAGTTGACAGTGAGTTATCCTTTCCAACCTTTAAGGTTCCTGTGCAGACAAACCATCTATATATGTTGTTAAAACATCACCAGTGCTGTGTCCTTTGTGTTTCTTTTAGTATTAAATGTGGAGTGTGCCAGTCTGTGTGTATGACCGGTCAGAAAGACTCTTCAAAAAGTTGTAGTCACATGAGGGTCAAAGCGCCTCTCTCCTGTATGCCTTTGGAAATACATTCTTTGGAAATGCTGACTGCATTTTTTAACAGATATAAGACTTGTTGTGCATTCTGGGTAGTAAGCACCTTAAAAACATGACCAATGGAAAATGCACTAAGTTTCGCTATAAAAAACACTATTTGTGCTTCATGTGTCTGTTCATATTTACTCTGTAGTTGAATTAAAGTAAAAAAGATAAGTGAATAAAGTATAAGTTAACAGTTAAAATAGGCTAAATCTGCACTTTTTACAACAATTAAATGCTACCTACAGTAGTATGCATAATAAGTATTAAAACACACCATTCTTTAAGTTTGATTACTAATAATACTTCCTATGCTCTAAGTCTCATCATGTGAGCCTTAATGCCTCACTTTGGCAGGCACTTAAAGGCTATGGGTACCCTAATGGTTTTCTGAGGTTATGCAGAAGTCATTTGATATAGCTTTCAAATTGTGTTTTGTGTTGCCATGTACCTGTGCCATTGCATGTTGTTGATTAATAGGAGGAGGAGTCAGTGCTGGACTCAATCCACATGGCACTACTCTGTCCACGTTGGCACAGCTGTGCCAGGTGTTCAGCCGAGATGAGTGGAAAAGGCCATTTGAAACAC